GTGGGCCCCACCTATTTTTCTTTTATTTTCTCTTTATTTCTTTTCCTTTTTACATCACGCAAAACATATATATGCACCAACCATAATATAGCCACATATAACACATTAAATAAAGATAAATATGATGCAAATGGACCCATTTAAAATCCCGTATGCAACAATTCCGGTAGCGAGTCCCACGCAGAACCGTCCGGCCCGAAAAACTGAAAAATGTGAAAATGGTCACCCTTGCATTTCAAAGAGTTCTAAACTCAATGAAATGCCCCAAACAACTCTCGGACACAACCGGCACACTCCACAGTGTCCGGTACGAAAAACAGCAAAAGACGAAAATGCCTTTACAACGACAAAATTTCAAAAAAATGAAAAATGATGAAAAAATGGAAATATCACAATCTCCCCAACTTAAAAGGATTTCGTCCCCGAAATCAAGCCATACCTGGAGAAGAAAACAACTCTGGATACTTGGAGTAAACCTCCTGTTCAAGCTCCTAAGTAGCCTCCTCGACTCCGTGATGTCTCCAAAGAACCTTCATTAGCGGTATCGTCTTATCCCTTAACACTTTCTGTCGTGTGTCAAGGATCTGAACTGGTCCCTCTTCATAGGAGACATCCTCATCAATATCCACATCAACCCAATCCAAAACATGAGATGGATCCGGTTCATACTTCCGTAACATCGATACATGAAAAACATTATATATCCTATCCATCTGTGGTGGCAAAGCAAGTCTGTAGGCAACCTCTCCTACGTGATCTAAGATCTCAAATGGTCCAATGAATCGTGGCGACAACTTGCCACTTTTTTCGAATCTCATCAATCCCTTTCGTGGAGAAATCCGTAGAAAAACATGGTCTCCCACCTTAAAAGATAGTGGTCGTCTCTGCCTATCCGCATAGCTCTTATGTCGGCTCTGAGATGTGAGCAACCTCTGTCTGATTAGCTTAATCTTCTCGGTAGTCTCGAGCACTATGTCGTGTCCTAAGGCAGCTGTCTCGCCTACCTCAGTCCAACAGACTAAAGATCTACAAGGTCTGCCATACAACGCCTCAAATGGAGCCATCTCAATGCTCGCCTGATAACTATTATTGTAGGCAAACTCAATGAGTGGAAGGTGGTCCTCCTAACTGCCTCCCAATTCAAGCACACATGCCTGAAGCATATCCTCCAAGATCTGTATGGTACGCTCCGACTGGCCGTCCGTCTATGGATGGAATGTCGTATTTTGTGCAACACTGAACCAAACGCTACTTAAAGTTCTTCCCAGAACTTCGAAGTGAACTTGGCATCCCTATCTGAAACAATGGTTACTGGAACTCCATGCAACCTTACAATCTCCTTCACATACAGTTCACCAAGTGCTTCTGCGTCATTTGTTGCCTTAATAGGCAAGAAGTGAGCCGTCTTGGTCAGTCTGTCAATGATGACCCATACGGCTTCATTGCCCCTCCGGGACTTAGGAAGACCTATCACAAAATCCATAGCAATCTGTTCCTATTTCTATTGCGCTACAAGTAATGGTTACAACAAACAGGCTAGTCTTTGATGCTCGGCCTTCACCTGTTGACATGTAAGGCATTTAGCCACAAACTGTGTAACATCTTTCTTCATTCCATTTCACCAATACAGACGTTTCAAATTGTGATACATTTTAGTACCACCTAGATGAACTATAAAGTGGGAATTATGAACTCTCGTAGAACGTCCTCACGACAGACTGTGGGAACGACCAACAAATCTCTGAACCATAAACCTCCATCTACATGCAAAGTTCAGTCCTTTACTATCTCACCACTGGAGATCAAAGTGTGAATGGCATCCAAATCTGGATCCTGTCTGTGTGACTTAATCACTTATTCGACAAGAGTAGGCTAAGCCACAACACTGAATAAGAATGCCGACTCACTACAAACATCATCATTAAAACACTGTAATCCCATCTCTGCCAGATCTTCAAGAATCTTCCATTTTCAAATGGCTAAACTAGCCAAAGTTCCACGAGATTTCTGGCTTAAGGCATAAGCTACCACATTTGCCTTGCCCGGATGATACTACAAATAAAAATTGTAATCCTCTAAGAATTCAACCTATCGCCTTTGTCTATTGTTCAAGTCCTTTTGAGAGAAAAGGTACTTGAGACTCTTGTGATCCGAGAACACTTCGAATCTCTCACCACACAAGTAGTGTCTCTAATACTTCAAAGCAAACATAACTGCCGCTAATTCCATATCATGAGTGGGGTAATTGTACTTGTGAGTCTTCAACTATCGAGACCAATAAGCCACTACTCTACCATTCTGCATCAACACACATCCCAAACCATCACGAGAAGCGTCATAATAGATCACATAACCCAAGCCACGCTCACCAATACTGGAGCCGTAGTCAACCTTGTCTTCAACTCTTGAAAGGAAGACTCACAGGCTTCATTCCATACAAACTTGATCCCTTTCTGGGTTAAGCGAGTCATAGGCACTGCCAAGCAAGAAAAATCTTTCACAAATCTTCAGTAGTAACCCGCTAGGCCAAGAAAAATCCGGATCTCAAAAACATTCTTGGGTTGTTCCTAAGTCAAAACTGCTTCTATCTTTAATGGATCAACCGATATTCCACCTTCCGAAACAACATGCCCTAAAAACTTCACCTCTTGTAGCCAAAACTCACACATCTCATATTTGGCATACAATCGGTGCTCCTGTAAAATCTACAATACAATACTTAAATGGATCTCATGCTCTTCCCGAGACCATAAATACACAAGAATGTCATCCACGAAAACTACCACAAACTGGTCCAAGTAATCGTGAAAGATACGGTTCATTAAGTCCATGAATGCCGCCAGTGCATTAGTTAAGCCAAAAGGCATAACAAGGAACTTATAGTGCCCATACCGTGTACAAAACGCTGTTGATAAGTGCCGAATACTGTATATTCAAGCGCCCTAAATTACATTAGTTAAGTCCATTAATTGATTATTTTATGTAGATTACCTTCATATGCACGTTTTTGCATATTTTCAGGTTCATTGGACAAAAAGAAGCAAGAAGGGTGCTTTGTGGAGTTTTGAACATCAAAGGTCACAATGCTGAATTTCTGGCAGCAGTGGAACCTGGATTTTGCTCGCCATTTTTACCTTGAAAACTTGAGAACTGGACTTCCCTCATAACATGACATATTTAGAGCTCTGAATCAGCTTTCCAAATCTTCAAGCGGTTCATCATTCGGAGTTTGGAGCAGAGAGTTATGATCTTCTTATCAGAGGTGCTCAGAACTACCTGGCAGCAATGAGTTTCTGTCTTGCTCTTCAATTTCGACCAACCATACTTGAGAATTGGATCTCCACCAAAACATAAAGTTTTTAAAGCTCTAAATCAGCTTTTCAAATATTCAAACGGTTTGTCATTCAAAGTTCAGAGCACAAAGTTATAGCCATTTTACCAAAGTAGGTCCGAGCGAAGCAAAGCAAGCATGGAGCAATCTGCTCCAATTTCGAGTGCTCGAGGCCCTATTTCGAGCACTCGAGATTCAGGCAGAATGCAGCTCGGGACTCTTCCTCTTCAGCCCACTTGTGCATTGGTTTCCACATTTTCCACCCTCTTTCTTTATGGAGTGGTTGGGAATGTCTTTGGAGGAAAGAGAGAGCTTGGTTGTAAGACATAAGGCAACTAAGGGCCACATGCATCAAGAGAGATATTCTAGCAAGATAGAGGAGAGGGAGGAGAAAAAAAGAGAGAGGAGTTCTTCAAGCAAAGGAAGGAGCACGAAAATGGAGTCTTCGATGGAGCTTCTTCCTTCTTTTAGCTTAGCAATGGGTAACTAACTCTTTCTCTAGGGAGGTGATGAAGTCCCTCCCTTGTAAGCATGTCCTAGGGTAGTCTATATTGGGGGATTGCAATGTATATTTATGGTCTTTTTCATAGCTAAGAGCACTTCTTTTGGTGTAATGAATGTTTATATATGTATGGATGATTTCTTCAAGCTCATTATCTTATGTTAGGTGATGTCTTGTATTAATCTTTTTGCTTGAGTTTACATGGTGAGAATGGAAGCAAGGTTATGAAATGATTTAATGGCATGTTGATAGGTGACTTTGATAGACCATTGCTTAGGAAATCCTTTGATGGTGTACGCTTAATCTCTAGCTCCATGTGCTTCATCATTTTGTCAAGAATTTGATAGTCTTTCATTTAAGTAAACGTGTATAAGCTACACCTTAGTTAGGTAGTCTAAACATGTTTACCCTTTTGATGGATTATACTTATTTGAGACCTAATGTACCTCTTGATTACTTACATGGCAACTATGGGTTGCTATGTAGTTCTTGACCATCATATGTTGTTTTTCCCCTAATTTAGGTCTAATCTAGCATGTGTATAGGGATGGAGGCGGATTCACTTCCTTAGTCTTCTTTACTAGTCTTTCATCTCTTAAATTCTTGCAAGTTTTTCATTAATGCATATTTCAATTCATAGTATAAGTGACAAACAATCAACAACTCTTTATTACACCTCATCATCCTAAGAATGATTCTAGACATTTAGGTTGCTTTAGACTAGCGTAGTCCCAGTGGTTCGACTTACCCGACCAATAGCCCTATTTTACAATGATTCGTGCTATTGCGAAGGTTGATGTATAATTGACCAACCGATCAGCTGTCTTTGGGATATCCTTATCCCTAACCCACAACTGATAATAGCTAGACCTCAAGTCAATCTTTAAGAAACAACTGGCTCCTCTCAACTGGTTAAACAAATCATCTATCCTTGGCAAAGGATACTTGTTCTTGATAGTGGCATGATTCAACTTCCGGTAAGCAATACACAACCTCAAATAACCATCTTTCTTCTTAGCAAACAATACCGGTGCGCCCCACGGTGACACACTCGATCAGATGAAACCTTTCATCCTCAAGTCATCAAATTGCTTCTTTAATTCTTCTAACTTAACTGGTGCCATACGATACAGTGCCATAGAAATCAGCGCGGTACCGGGCATTAAATCAATAGTGAACTCCACTTCTCGATGTGGAAGCAACTCTATCAAGTCTTTCGGAAAAAGCATCTAAGAAGTCACAAACAACTGCCAGATAAACCGTCCCTACAGCATCATCTTCTTCGGCTAAAAGACTAGCTAAGAAATAATCATCATGACTCCGTCCCTGAATTTCATACAATGATGAAGGTTGGGGATCACTCCGATCTCCCATGAAAAAGAAACAATCTCCCTCAGGAGTGCAAAATGTGACTCTTCCTCTGAAACAATCAATCGTGGCACGAAATGAAGCTAACCAATCCATCTCGAGAATGACATCAAAGCCAGTTATCTCCAGGAGGATGAGGTCGAACACAAAAGTCCGCCCGGCTATCACGATGGAGTAATCCCTCACAATTCGGCTCAAAGACACTGAAACCCCAACTGGCGTATCAACACATAATGCCCGATCTATGAAACTGATCTCCAACCCCGATGTAAATACAAATGATGATGCAATGCAGGAATGAGAAGCACCAGAGTCAAAGAGAACATGAGCCCAAGAACCAAACACTGGAAAGATACCTTAGAGAATTGATGGACCAAAAGATGCATCAATCGGTACAAGTGCAAAGACATGTCCCTGCGACGCCTGTACCTTAGAACAGCCAACCTGAACACCTAACTATTGCACCGACGCAGCAGGGGTATCCCTCCTAGCTGGTCGTGATCCCTATAAAGACATGGCAGGCTGTGGTGGTGGTGGTGGTCTGAAACCTAACTAAACTGTAGTCAACTGCGACGGCCTCTGTCGTGACCCTCTGCCACTACCGGTGCCTGCTTCCTGATTCAGACAGTCTCGAATCAAATGGCCCTGCTGGCCACACCTATAACAAGCTCTCAGAGCTGAAGAAACTGAAGACGATCTCATAGGACAATTGGACTTGTAATATCCAAGCTGCTGACATTGAAAACAAACGACTCCACTCTTGTCAGACCCAGTTGGCTAGCATGGGAGTGGTAGGAGCGGATCGTGCAGACTGCTACCCTTAAAACTGAGATGAACCACCCCTGTTCCTCTCCATGAAGGTCCCTCTGAAGATAACCCTACATTCCTCTTTTGTCTCCATAGTTCCTTTCCTGCATTTCTATCTTTGGCCTCCACCTCAAGCATTAATGCCCTCTCCACTGCTTCCGAATAAACTTTGATGTACTGTGCCGTTATCAATGGCCTCATTTTGTAATCAAGCCCGGAGACAAACTTTCGAGTCTTTTCAACTTCATTGCTCACCATCTCTGAAGCAAAGCGAGAGAGTGAGGTGAACTTGCTTTTGTCATTGAACTGATCCCTTAGCTCCCACCCAACTCACCTTTTCCACCTTGTGTCTGTTGGTAACTGACTTCCACCAAAGCTTGGCATCTTTAGAAAACTTGTATGTAGCTAGGATGATTTTCACATAATCATCCGTCACATCCATAGAGGTCAACTGAGTTTCTACTTGATCCATGTAGTCATCTGCTACAATAGGATCTGCACCACCTTCGAACATCATTGGCATCAACTTAGAAACCCCAAAAATCAACTTGAGACATTTCTGCACTGGCGTTTCCTCAACTTGAACTACCGGTTATGGCACCGGTTACGAAAGAGTAGCAATTGTTGCCCTCAAGGCATTCTGCAATAAGCGGTTCAATGCTAGTTTCGTCGGACCTTAACCCTCTTCGACGGGTGCTTCAACATTATCCCTCCTGGTAGGAACACCTCTTGGGGTAATCAAATCCCTGAGAAGTGTATCCTCTTCATTTTGCTTTGCCGGATTAGAGCTAGAGCTCTCACCAATGTCACCCCTTGTCGGCCTAGAGCCAACTCCTCTGGTTCCCTTCGTGGCGGCATCCTACTATAAAACGAGAAAACGGTTCAATGACATGACACTTAGGTCTAACCGAGGATGACTCTATACAGTGATGACATACTAACTTAGCATGCAAAATTGTCACGCCCCTGGACCGTAGTCCGGATTATGAACACAACACACAAACAATCACAGTCTCAAAAAAAAAACTATCCCTGTAACCTGTCTTAACCACACATCCACCTATTTATTGTCCTTTACAAAAACAAGACTGAAAATTTATAGATAAGATGCAAATATTACAACATTAAAGTTTTAAAGTCCGAAATAACTTTTATTACATGTCAGAAATATTCTAAAGAAATATAATACAAAACACAGACTGTTATGCAAAATATAACACAACAAGACCAGCCTAGACTCTATATATAGCTAAGGAGGAACACCCTCCAAACCATCCGCGCCATGACCTAAAAAGATGTGAATAATATAGGAATGAGCAACCACAGCTCAGCAGGAATTGCCTAAAGCGCACTCCTTAATACCTCTGTGAATCCAAACAAAGAATAGATAAAAGATAATGGGATCATATAAACTCGGGAAAAAAATATGCTATTTGCAAAATAAAGTCTATAATATTTCTGAACAAATAATGACACTTAATGAAATTAACACACATTTACAAAATAAATATAATTCGGACAAGAAAAATAAAATGCATGTATGTCAAAATGATTAGAAAAATGATAAAAATGCAAGTGCTCACAATCTCCCCAACATACAAGGATTTCGTCCCCAAAATCAAGTCGTACCTGGGGAAGAAAACAAACTCGGATACGCAGAACGAACATCCTGTTCCCGTTCCCACGTAGCCTCTTCAACATCGTGATGTCACCACAAAACCTTCACGAGAGTCACCGTTTTACCCCTTAACACTTTGTCCCGAGTGTCAAGAATCTGAACGGGTCTCTCTTCGTAAGAAATATTCTCATCAATGTCAACATCAACCCAACTCAATACATGTGATAGATCCGGCTCATACTTCCGCAACATCGAAACATGAACACATTATGGACCCTGTCCATCTATAGTGGCAATGCCAATCTGTAAGCAACCTCGTCCACTCGGTCCAAAATCTCAGATGGCCCAATGAAACGAGGTGACAACTTGCCACTCTTTCCAAACCGTAGCAATCATTTTCGTGGAGAAACTTTGAGAAACACGTGGTCTCCCACTTCAAAGGATAATGGTCGTCTTTGTCTATCTGCGTAACTTTTTTGTCGGCTTTGAGCAGTCAACAACCGCTGCTGAATCAATTTAATCTTTTCAATGGTTTCCAAGACAATGTCTGGCCCTAAGGCGGTTGTCTCACCCACCTCAGTCCAATAAACAAGAGAATGACAAGGCCTACCATACAATGCCTCAAAAGGAGCCATCTCAATACTCGACTGATAGCTACTGTTGTAGGCAAACTCAACAAGAGGTAAATGATCCTCCCAACTACCACCAAAATCAAGTACACAAGCTCGAAGCATATCTTCCAAGATCTGGATAGTACGCTCCGACTGGCCGTCCGTCTGCGGATGGAATGCCATACTAAAATGCAACGGTGAACCAAACGTTGCATAAAGCCCTTCCCAGAACTTCGATGTGAACTTAGCATCCCTGTCCGAAACAATGAACAATGGAACCCCATGCAATCTGACAATCTCTCTGACATACAATCTGCCAAGTGCCTCAGCAGAATCTGTCGCCTTAATAGGCAAAAAGTGAGCGGTCTTAGTCAATCTATCAATAATGACCCAAACAGACTCATTCCCCCTTTGTGACCTCGGAAGTTCTGTCACAAAATCCATAGCAATACATTCCCATTTCCACTGTGCTACTGGCAATGGCTGCAACAAACCTGCAGGTCTCTGATGCTCTGCCTTTACCTGCTGAGCTACATCTGCCTTCATCCCATTCCACCAATACTGGCGTTTCAAATTATGATACATTTTAGTACCACCTGGATGCACAATAAAACGAGAAGTGTGAAACTCCCGTAACACATCCTCCCGATAAACCGTAGGAACCACAAACAAACCTCTGAACCGTAAACTACCATTCGTGTGTAAGGTCCAGTCCTTTACTGTGTGCCCACCTGAAATCAACTGATGAATGGCAGCTAAATCTGAGTCCTGTCTCTGTACCTCAATCACCCGTGTAACAAGAGTAGGTTGAACCACAAGACTAAACAGAAAAGCTGTCTCACAACCAATACTATCATCACAACACTGTAATCCCATCTCTGCTAGATCCTCCAACATCTTCCATTTCTGAATAGCTAACCCAGCCAAAACTCCATAAGATTTCTGGCCTAAGGCATCGGCTACCACATTCGCCTTACCCGGATGATACTGCAACTCAAAATTATAATCTTCCAAATACTCAACCCATCGCCTCTGTCTGTTATTCAAGTCCTTCTGAGAGAAAAGGTACTTGAGACTTTTATGATCCGAGAACACTTCAAATCTCTCACCATATAAATAATGCCTCCAGCTTTTCAAAGCAAAAACAACTACTGCTAATTCCAAGTCATGAGTGGGATAGTTAAGCTCATGAATCTTTAACTGTCTAGATCCATAAGCCACTACCTTACCACCCTACATCAACACACAGCCCAAACCGTCCCGAGAAGCATCACAAAAGACAACATAACCCAAGCCACGCTCAAGTTTCACCAATACTGGAGCTGTAGTCAATCAAGCCATGCTCAAGTATCACCAATACTGGAGCTGTAGTCAATCTAGTCTTCAACTCTTGAAAAGACGACTCACAAGCTTCAGTCCAATCAAATCTGATCCCCTTTCGGGTCATCCGAGTCATAGGAGCAACTAAGCGAGAAAAGTCCTTCACAAACCTGCGGTAATAACCCGCTAAGCCAAGAAAACTCCGAATCTCATACACATTCTTGGAACGTTCCCAATCTAGAACTGCTTCTTTCTTCGAATGATCAACTGACACCCCATTACCCGAAAATACATATCCCAAAAACTTCACCACTTGCAGCCAAAATTCACACTTGGAATACTTGGCATACAAATGGTGCTCTCTCAGCATCTGTAACACTATCCTCAAATGGATCTCGTGATCCTCTCGAGATCGTACTACACCAAAATGTCATCCACAAACACTACCACAAACTGGTCCAAATATCTGTGAAAGACACGGTGTATCATATCCATGAATGCCGCTGGCGCATTAGTCAACCCAAAAGGCATCACAATGAACTCATAATGACCATATCGCATACGAAAAGCTGTCTTCGGAATATCCTCATCCCGAACTCGTAACTGGTAGTAACCAGATCTCAGATCAATCTTGGAAAAGCAAATAGTTCCCTTTAACTGATCAAACAAATCGTCAATCCACGGTAAAGGATACTTGTTCTTGATGGTTGCCTGATTCAATTTCCGATAATCAATACACAACCTCATAGAACTATCCTTTTTTCTTTACAAACAACACTTGCGCACCCCATGGTGAAACACTAGGCCGAATAAAACCTTCAGCCTCAAATCATCCAACTACTTCGTTAATTCCTCCAGCTCTGCTGGTGCCATCCGATACGGAGCTATAGAAATCAGTGTAATACCAGGCATCAAGTCAATCACAAACTCAAGCTCTCTTCTACGAGGTAAATCCGGTAAGTCATCCGGGAACACATCCAAGAACTCACAAACAACTGACGGATAAATTGTCTCCACATCACCATCTTCTTCAGCTAAAATGCTAGCTAAGAAGAAATCACAACGGTCCCTACCACGAACACCATAACAAGCTGAAACCAAGGAATCACCCCGATCTCCCACAAACACAAAACAATCTCCCTCCGGTGTACACACTGAAACTCTACCACTGAAGCAATCAATGGCGGCATGAAATGATGATAACCAATCTATCCCAAGAATGATGTCAAACCCTGTCATCTCAAGAAGAATAAGATCAAAAACCAGAGTCCGCCCAGCAATCACAATTATTTATTATGTGGACAAAAATTTCATTTTTATACCACATGAAAATATTGTGCTCACCCCCTTTTTTTTTTGGGGGCACTTTTTTTCTATATATAATTAGGACTTGCAAGTTAAAGAATTTTGTTCAGATAATAAAGTTAGATGATTACAACAATCTCTCCTAACAATTATTTAGTGCTTGGCATATTTCATTTATTGTTGTATTACATCGAAGATTTCAAGAGAATCTCATTTGATTAATTTTAACAATTTAGTTTTAAGTAGTTAAATTTTTGTCTGTGCACTCTTATATCCAGGAATGCTTCCATCTGACCAAACTACCCATCTTTCTTTTGTATAAGACAAAATGATGTAAGCACAAAGCATGCTTGCCCAATGACATATTTTTAAAATTGACATATTACTTTAATACATATATATAT